TTATTATTATTTTTTTCAAATATTCTGTCAGAAACCAAATGGATTTTATTCTTTGTGGCTGATTTATTAAATCATTAAATGGCATATTTTACCGAGCGTCACGTACTCTCACCTTCATGTACTAATTTTTTAAAATTATATTCTCTATTAGTAGATACCCATAACGGCATATGTTTGAATAATTAATTAAATAAACAATCAATTACACGTCCATCTTATTCAATTTTTTCAATCCCTTCCGCTCTCTATTTAGACCCCGCGAGCTTTCGCTAACCATTCTAACACACAAAACATACACACACACACACACACAAAAGAAAATCAAATTTATTCATAAATTCCACCTTATTCTTTTCAATCTATCTTCTTCTTCTTCTTCTTCTTATCTTGAACCAAAAAATGGTGATACATTCGTCGTCTCCCATGAGAACCAAAAAGGCTCGTGTCCTCGGGATCCCGGTCATAGATCTCGGCCTCGAGAGGCCTAAATTGTGCGAATTAATCGTAAAAGCATGCGAAGAATTCGGGTTTTTCCAAGTCGAAAACCACGGGATATCCCGGGAGGTGATATCTCGGGTCGAAAAGGAAGGCCTCAATTTTTTCTCGAAGCCTGCATGCGACAAGCAACGTGCCCGGCCCAGGCAGCCGAGCCCATTTGGGTACGGTTGCAAGGATATCGGGTTCAATGGCGATAAAGGCGAGCTCGAGTTTATCCTATTGGAAGCCAATCCTCATTTGGTCTCACAGAGGGCCAAATCTCTGTCCAGTGATCCAAAAAAGTTCAGGTAAAAAGTCATTTCTAGTTTTTAGAAAATTGAATAATTCTACTAATTATTGTGAACAATTAATGTGCCCATTTTCTATTTTGTATTCTATTTCAACGAATTATATATATGAAAATAGAACAGAAAAGTTAATCACTAGATATAATAATTAAATAGTAATTTCAAAATTTGGAAAAGCAAGCCAACACTCATATATAGCTGTCACATAAATAAGAAATGGGGTCCCAAATAAAACATCACACCTTACTAAAGCTCGAAAAAAAAAAAAGTCAACACACTAATCAATAATCTCCACATTCAAAAAATGACTAGGCTGCCAGGTTTCCATATATAGCTGTGAGAATCTGTTGTACCTTCATGCATCAAACATAGTAATATACGATACGATTTTTATTTATTTATTTATTTTTTTCAAAAAGGTGCATAATGTTATTCTCAAAGCACTTTCACCTTCACCACCTTTTTTCTTCCCTTTCTCAACCTAAATCATTTACGTTGTGTCCTTTCTCCGTCAGTCGTGCAGTTAATGATTACGTCCGTGCCGTCAGCAACCTTGCATGTGACATCCTCGAAATCGCGGCCGAGGGCTTGTGGGTCCCCGAAAAATCAACTTTCAGCCACCTCATCCGAAACCCGACCACCACCGACTCGTGCTTTCGAATCAACCACTACCCTTCGTCCGATGACGTGGCATCCAATCATAATAATAAGCCGAGGATCGGTTTTGGCGAGCACACGGACCCACAAGTGTTGACCATCTTATGGTCGAACGATGTTTGGGGGCTTCAAATTTTGTCGAGGGAAGGCTTGTGGGTCCCGATTCCTCCCGATTCGGAAAGATTGTGCGTGTTCGTGGGGGACTCGTTGGAGGCGCTGACGAACGGGAAGTTCCAGAGCGTGAGGCACCGGGCGGTTTTGTCTTCGTGCTCGGTTGGGAATAATAAGAGGATGTCGATGATGTATTTCGCGGCGCCGTCGTTAGATGCGCGCGTGTCGCCGGTGGAGGAAATGGTGTCGGAGGAGAAACCTAGCGTTTATAGGGAGTTCACGTGGGGAGAGTACAAGAGGGCCGTGTACTCACTGAGATTGGCCGATAACCGGCTCGATATGTTTAGGGTTTGAGATTTGTGTAATTTTTGCTTTTATTTTTTGTGGGAAATTTGTGATTGTTAGGAATGTAGAAGATAGGGCATTATATTTGGTGGATAGTGTGTAGATGGGCTTCTACGTATATGCATGTTAGTGTAAGGGATGGACGAGTTTGATGTGAGTTAGGTATCTAATTGAGTTTGCATGAATTATATTTTAAGTTTTACTTAATTGACAAGAGTTATGCTAGTTTTTACTATTGCTAAGTGAACTAAAATTGGTATGGATTATCAGTAAATTGAAGTAGCTTTACGATTTTCTCTTTGATCAATTAACAAATCATGCTTGACTATACTGCAAAGTTATTGTTTCATTTATCCATTATATTAATCTTAAGTGAGTGTATCATATCAAACATGAAAACACGCTCAAATGTGACAAGTATGTTAATTGATTGATGTGACAGAAGATTAACATACCATGCATTGTAAATGTGTGGTTGAAAGATCGAGATATTGACACGTGCTAATTAATTGATACGTCTTATTATGCCACCGGTAGATAAGTAAATAATTTCATATTTTAACAATCTCATTCTTTAACCTCACATTAGGTATAAGTTTATAAATTCATCAATTCAAGTAGGGGAGATTAGCATATATGGGTCACGTTGTTAGCCAAATGCTAGAAAAAAGTCAGAAAATTGTTTCTTTTGGAGGAATCTAAGTGTAAGAGTAACTAAATAATTTGTTCCATGATTTAAGGAGTTGGCCAAAAAGCTAGTCATGTATTCTCGTTAATAAAAGCAACCTTTGACATTTACCATGTACACACTTATTAATTATGGCCCTAATTCGACATTTTTTTTTTTTTTTTTTTCTTGGTTGCGAGAATGTGCGCCGCAGTTCTTCTCCATAATCATAGGCGTCACCTTATTTCATTCTACATGATATAATAAAATTATATTAAATAGGCCATTAGTTAATTAATAGTTATCAAGTATTTGGGCAAATTTTAATTAATCATGATGTACATATTGGGTTATATATTGGCTCTAATTAAATAATTAAGAGCAATAACATGACAGCTAGAGCTTATGACAACAATAATATTCAGGCATACGTCTTGTTGATTTGACGGTCTAACTACAAATAATAATAATAATAATAATAATGGGAAATGCTACGGTCTCGTTACTGTACCATCCCGTCGGGTGTTTTAACCGTTGAATCCACGTATAGTTAGATAAGATAGAGAATCCAACGGTTATAAAACCCGACGAGATGGTACCGTAACAAAACCGTAGCATTTCCCAAAAATAATAATCCCCTTTAATTTGTTTATTTGCTGTGATCAACATGCGCGAGTTATTACTTGGTACCATGTCTTAATCACCGGCAATTGCCACATTATTTAATAGTATATAATTCTTGATGTTATATGTGGGATCCCACTTGTCACGTAATTAACTCTGAAGGCTGAAGCTGATTGATTTTAGTGTTGACATATCGTGTATCTAAGTTGTTGTAAGCTCGTACTTAATTCTTGCAGCTTAATTAATTAACTAATTATAAAAGATGGCAGTTGTGATTAGCTAGCTAGTCCACGCAAGTAATTGATTAAAAGTGTTCATAATTTAAATGTGTCAATGTTTAATTATGGTAAGGGAAGATAACCCACAAAATCTCTGCATGTGAGTACGTTGTTCCTAGTGTTCATTTAGCATAATATAACTGAAAATAGGAAATAAACAAAGCATATACATGATCATGATATGTGTTTTGTTTGGAACTACTACAACTCGTGCTTGTAAAAAAATTATTCTTATACTTTAAAATATATTGAAAAAAAAGTGTTTCAAGATTTAAATATTTTTTACATAATATATATTATTATATATTTTGTAATAAAAGTTGTTTCTTGCGCAATTTATTATTGATAAGTTATTTATTTTATAAATACAATATAGATAACAAATTGAACTAATTAAGAGATGCTTGATTTGATGTATTATATATGCGAAGCTGATAAAAAGATACAGAAGTTAGTAACTTTTAAAGTACATTTAAATTTAATGTTTATAATAGGAAATGATAATAAAATGCACTTAATACATGTAAAATAACAATAAAAAATTAACATATTTATGGATAATTCAAACCTAATTATTTATGGATTGGAAGTAAAATAAAATCTATCCAACCAACAATGAAACATGAGATTTTACCACGTAAGATTCCGAATCATGCGAGCGTGTCACTTAGGCTCAGCACATTCGAAAATTATATATAATAGAAATATAAATGTTAGTTGCCTTGATCAATCATAGCAATGGGGACAATAAAAATGACAGCTATATATATCACGACATATATATGTTATAACAAGGCAACATAATATTGCATTATGATTAGTATAAGTAGGCCTCATGAGAACCCCAGTTTGCTGGTAAGGAACTCTTATTTTCGCCTGTGACGTGATTAATAATTATGACCAATAATTATTCAACTAAGATGCTTGCTCGTTTTTGGTAAATTGGATTCGATCTAATTATAGATGCAACAATTAGGATATATTAAAATAAATGAGTTTATTGGGAAGTCTTATATATATGTTAGTCGATCTAACTATATATTAAGCCGATACATGTTCTTTCCACATATATACATACCTGCACTATAAATTAATTAAATTACTTTAAAAATCAACATGCATACATAAAATATAATATTTCAGGGATGGATCTTTGATTAAGTCTACAGGCATGGCGTCGGCCGGAGGGCTTGTACGAGATGAAGGTGGTCACTGGCTTGGAGGATTCGCAATGAATATTGGGTACACTATTATTACTGGCGCAGAGCTCTGGGGCTACTTCAAGGGCTCCAGTTAGCTTGGGATTTGAGCTATCGGAAGGTGGTTGCTGACGTGGATAATCAAGAGTGTTGTTCAGATGGTCATGGGCTCTTCCGTTGAGAGTTGGGGGGTGCATGGTGCTGTTATTCGGGCCATACTAGCACTGTTGAAGCGGGATTGAGAAGTGAGTGTTGTGCACTGCTATCGGGAAGCAAATTTTGCTGCGGATTGCTTGGCGACCTTAGCACACTCACGTCCTAATGGGTGCCAGAGGTTTCTTGATCCTCCTTCAGAAGTCAAGCCGTGGCTAGTGCACGACGTTGTAGGCGTCGTCCATCTACAGAACATTACTATCTAGGGGTTTCTAGGCTACGGCCTCCGTTCATTATACCAAAAAAAAAAAGTATAATATTTCATAATATAAGTTTTCATTTTTGTTAAAGCTAAGTATGACGAATCCACGTACCCACGTAACTGTTTGACTAGCTCACATAAGAATTTATGTGAGATTATATATTTTAATCATTTTTATTACAATAGTTAAATAATATAAAAAAGGGCCATCCATCTTTATTACAGATGGCATGGGACATTTAAATACGCACACATACAATGTGTATGGCTACGTATAATTAATTTTGTATTAATAATTGATTAACACAAATTAATTAAATCTGATAAGCTGAAGGGTGAATAATCCACGTGTCCCCATCGACGAAATATGTGCCAATGAACGGCTTGGCCTCCTCATCGGTCAGTGCTCTTGCCCAGGCAACTCGTCCGGTGAGGTTAGAACCTGCCCCGCTGCATTTGTACTCTCCATAATACACTTTCCTATTTATTCATAATTACCCAACATTAAAGTAGTAATTATTAGTCAATAACAAGGTTTCGTGGTGTATATATATATATATACATTTGTTTGGAACTATATAAAGTGTGACATAAAATAAGAATTAATCAATAATCAATTTTGACTTGTTAGGATATACTAATATGGACTTACTGGTCGCGACTTTTATCGCCCCAATCGCTCCATCCTTGTGGAAGGACGATTTTGTCCATGAAAGTGTAAGAGAAAACAACCCTCGAATAATCGGCCCATGCCCGGCCAAGGTAGATGGAGCCTGACCCAGTTATGGTGCAATCTTTGAATGAAAACCCACTTGAGAGCGATGAGTTTGTGCGCTTTTGAGCCGTGACTGAAGCCACCTTCTTCGCTATCGAGTTCAAGTAGCAATTCTGCACGTGGTCATTTTATAGAAGTAAATGATATATATTTTTTGAGAAATTCATTTTGAAGAAGTAAAAATTTGATTCTTAAGAATGTAATGTTATTTCAAACAAACACAAACACTATCAAGTTTTAGTATGTGTTAACCATATGTAGGTCCTTGTTACAAAATATGGATGAGAGTACTCTTCACTTCGGCGGTAAAATTTCATTTTTGGTCCATTATATTGGCCATTTTCCAGAAATTGCCCACTAATTTGGCGGACATCAAACTTGATACAATAAGTTGTAAAATTCATCATTTTTGGTCCATTAATCACTCGGGCTGGATAACGAGCCTACGTGGCGGACATCGAACTTGTCCACGTATTCGCCCGATAAAATGCCACGTAGGCTTATGGACCAAAAATGATGAATTTTACAACTTATTGTATCAAGTTTGATGTCTGCCAAATTAGTGGACTATTTCTGGAAAATGGCCAATATAATGGACCAAAAATGAAATTTTGCCTCACTTCGGCCCACTAATTTTTTTATAGGTTAAAGCCCAATCATAATTACCTATGTTAAGCCCTAAGCCAAGATGATAGGCCCAAATCGATTATGAGAAAATGGGCCTAACCAACCTCATAAAGTGATGTCCCGTAGCCGAAGATAAAGTCGACAGAGCCCTGTATGAAGCAATTACTGAAATAGTGAAGGCCCTTGTGATCGTACAGAGTGTCTTGGCCACCGTAGAAACTGCAATTGTAAAAGGCGGCCTTACTGCCGGATATCCTTAGCGCCACCGCTTGCCCACCCGCCGTCCCCACCACGTGCGGAGCTGTGTTCTGCATTTTCACCGGAGATGAAAAAAAACTTGTATTTCTCATTCAAGATTTATTCTACTAGCTAGCAAGTGCCTGACAATTTATTGTTGGTTGAAATTGAATATGTTTGTTCGTGCTTGGTGCTTATTATTATTATTATTATTATTATTATTATTATTATTATTATTATTATTATTATTATTATTATTATTATTATTATTATTATTATTATTATTATTATTATTATTATT